AAATGGAGGTAGTCCTTCTAGAAGAGCAGTGGCACATGCAGGTGATGAAGAGGACAAAATGGAGGTAGTCCTTCTAGAAGAGCAGTGGCACATGCTTGGGAGAGCAAGTTGAAGTGGTGACTGTCCTAGGAAGAGTAGCAGTTTGTCGAGGAAGAGGACCTCCAGCAGGAGGACGAGAACATCTGAGCAATTGTCTCTGGAGGTACTACTTAACTGATTGGCCTCACACAAAGTTCAATGACGAGATCAATACTAAAACTAATGGTTGTTCCTTATATTGCTTGATAAGAGGCACCGTGACATGACATGAAGCAGAAGATGGTGAAGACTGTCAAACTCTTGCAGGATCTTCAGATATGCAAATTTTGTAGTAAATACGACAACAGAAAAATTTTGTGAGGTACTTTGAAAGAACGAGCTGTCGTCACAGACACAGTTGATGCACAGGAAAAGCCCTACGCACAGGAAAAGCTCTACACACTCATTACTCACTTCTTCTAGACGTTGGCGACAACATATAACGACGATCTCCACCAGACAGAGGATGAGGATCCTGGCTACTTACATCATCTCCCTCACACGTATTTAGCTTTGAATTCGCATGCCAAGAACTGCGAACTCGATGGGCATTATCCTTCATGATCAACGTCACGTGTTGTTTAAGAACCCAACAAGAACTGAATATTGTTGGAATAGGAATTTTTCCTCAACTGAAAAATCCGTACTCTTGTGAGGGTGCCAAGAGACCAGCAAGACGAACAAGACCAGCAAGACGAACAAGACTCCTCTTTGTGTCTGTGAAGTGTTTGTTTTCTCTGCGCCCACCGCTGCTGGTGCGTCGAACTAATCGAAAAATTTGTAATTGTAATTGTAAGGCAGTTTGAAACTCTCTTCAATATCTATCAGCACAAATGGTCAGGGAAATCTTGGGCACGCTTGTCTAGAGCCCGTTGAGCAGTTCTCAGTTTCGAAAACAGGAGGGACTTGACGAGAACAATAGGCCGATTTATTTCCACGCAGCATTCAAATTACCCAGCAAGCACGAACTCGAAGTTGTATTTTTTCAGAATCCAGATTTCATCGACACTTCTTCACTACCTGTATACGTACTACTACATCTTCACGTAAAATATACTTTCCTGAAGCGTTTTTTCTCTGCGTGAACCTGTTTTCTCCTATTCAGGACAATTGGGTTTTTCTTTTTTAAGTAAGAAATTATAGTTCTTAGTACACATCAGCAACATCATGGAAGAGCGGTTAGTAGCGCACAAGATGGAAGAAAGTGTAAACAAGATGGAAGAACGTGTAAACAAGATGGAAGAACGTGTAAACAAGATGAAGGAAAGCGTAGGAGCAGGTGGTACTACAGTAGGTGGTGCTACCGCAGATATTGGAGAAGTCGGAAGCCTAGGCCTTGGAGGAGTGAACAACAAGACGGGCGACTCCATGATTACGGATGGAAGAAGAAGAAGGACTAAGGTGTAGTGTTGCAGTGTAGTTTTGAGCAGTAGCAGTGAATCTCAACAACTTGAGCACTCGTGTAAGTAGTAATTTCTCTCGGGACAACGCCTATGCTGTCTTTTCGGGACGATATGTGTTTCTTGGGACGAGGAGCTTTCTCTCATATTCTACTCCGTGGGAGTTTTTCCTTACAACAATACAGACTCAGGGGGTCACCGATCAGATAGAAGGACAACCGAAAGGTATACTTCAAGAAAGTACGACTAATACAGTGTTTGTCTCATCTAATGCTTGCGGCAGCGCAGCTTCACCTCCGCTGGGACACACGACAAGCAGCAGTGTAGCCACGTCTGTAGCAACGTCTGCACCTGCAACCCCATTGGAGGCAAAGCAACGGTCTTTTCGCGTACCTAAGACGCACAGAGAGTGGATGGAGATCTTGAACGCGGAAAGCCCCTATCCCAGACCTCCCTCAGCAGTGTCGAATTCAACAGACTCAGCTCGAAATTTTCTCGCGCATCCACCGTCGTCGGCGCCATGTACTGATAATCAGCTGCTGCTTGAGAAAACCCTACTACAACAACTTTACGACAACTCTTTCCAACACTTTCCTCCTTATCACAACTCTCCATCACAACTCTCCATCACAACTCCCCATCACAACTCTCCATCACAACTCTGATAATCTGCTTGTTTGATGCTGGTTCTTGGATCATAAGGCTCAGTTTGAAATTTTTTCTACCTGCACTTAGGAGTTAACGATGTTGATTCACCAGAATCCCTCCATTTCCCCCAACATCAACTCCCCATGACAACTCCCATCTCTCCATTTCCAACAGCATCAACTCCCCATCACAACCCCCCCTCCATCCCATCCCAGCCTCAGCCGGACCCAGGAAGACGAGCGTTCCGCATTTGTTGTCGACTCCGTTGCCTTCTATCACCGATGAGACATTTGCGGATGGAAAAGCAATTACTTTCGAAGAACTGAGACAATTACCTTCCACCGAAGCCGCACCGCGAATCAGCGATAAAATTAACTATGATGTATTTATATTTAATGAGAGAATCTTCTTTAGTAGACTTGTTGGTTCTAATAGGCTCGTTGTATTGCCGAGATCTTCGAAAGACAATCCACTTGTAATTTTCGTATCAAGATTCCCCTCGACGATCCAAAGTGATAAAGACTTGACTCGACTTACAAGACACTCCGATCCAGAGTGAAAAAAAGATACCCAACTTTGCTTCAATTTCTGTTAGCATCTCACCCACGACGACCTCTTCAGATCCTGCAACGCGCTTCTGAGCGGAAGCGGAAAGACAAAATGAGGGCACAAGGAGGTGAAATTCGTGCTGGCGAGGTGCGTGCAGGAGAACGGGGCAGATGCTTTTCTTCCTCAAGGTCAACCGGAGCGGAGACACCTATTCGCAAGAAAAGCAACGAATTTCTAGAGAGAATCGTCATGGATTATCGTTAAGGCCGCCTAACTCATAAGGAGGTTCTTGTTTTCGACAGATGTTCAAGGGTTAATAGAAGTGTCTGGACAACGGGATAATAAATACATTTGATAAGTGTCTGTACAACGGGATGGATGATTAAGAACTGAGTCCTCGCAATAGGGTATTATCCACCAAATGCAGAATCTGATTGGTCTTCTTCCTCACACTCCTTCCTCTCGCACTCTTTCGACTGAAACGTCATTTTAGAAAACTCTACAATCCTACCTCTCTCTATGCCTATCGTCCCTATAATGATCTAAGGGTGAAGATATTAATGTAGCCCCTTTACCTCTTGAATAGGTACATCAATCAATGAATCAAAACGGGCCCCACTCTAACCCCCTCTGGAGAAGAGTGGCAAGGACCAATTGACAGCGACAACAGCGACTAGCTGCGGAGGTGGGTACCATGGGCATTTGAGCGACGCGTCGTCGGTTTTGAGCGACAGTTGTGGGGATTTTCCTCTACCTTCAGAGAGTGCAAAAGCAGCAGGCACCCTTTGGTCCAGAAGGATTAGTGAAGATTATGGCGCTGGAGTAGGTATAGTTGACTAGTGAAGACTATGGGTCTGGAGTAGGTATAGTTGACTAGTGAAGACTATGGGTCTGGAGTAGGTATAGTTGACTGTTGTATCTACTACAGTGTTTTTGCAGAAAACGTGGAAAAAACACTAGGAGTATAGAATGCTACGTGGAAGAAAGCACTAGGACGTGGAATTGGAAACTAGAGCACATGAGTGAGGAAGATTTCACGATACTGGTGGTGATTATTTGGTGCAGACTTGATGTCATTGCTTTAAAGTCGCCCCTGATAGGCTTTAAGCAAGCAGCTGCAGATGCAGCAATGTAGAAAGCACTTTCTAAAGTTCAGCTATCGTAGAACTCTTGGTTCTGTTGCTTCTAATCTAGGAGTATTATAGATTTCAGCTGTTCAAAACTATATTAACACTGCCCTCTTAACACTTGGAATTCACGAGCCTTAGAGCTTTCAGAGTTGTGAAGCTGAAATTTAGGATCTCAAATCTCTAAATTTTCAATTTCGAACTCAAACTATCCAAGAAGTTTTGATTATATCTCAAAATAATTCAATTTAAATCCTGACGATGAGATTGGCAAGAGTAGCGATTCTGCAGAAGACTTGTTTTCTTGGAGCAATACGACCTGTGCTGAAAAAATATGAAACACGACTGAAAAAGCCGCAATAGACGTCGTTACAGCCCCATTATATCCTGTACCTAGAAACGTAATCGAGCAAGAAGATGGCCTCGTCGCTCCTCCTCCTCCTCCTCCTCCTCCTCGTGATATCTATAGTAAGTACTCTCCTTGTGCTTTAGCGTGCGGATCTTCTAATCGCAACGCGAGATCTCCATCGGCGGCCCAATCTTGGAGCAGGAGACGGAGACAGAGGGACGCAGTTCAGGTCGGACGTCACGAGGGAGTTCGCGCACTAGTGCCACGGAAGATTTGCAACGGGAAAACGCGGACTTGAGTTACGACAACAGGAAAGAGTGTCTGTCTTGAGGTTGTTGAATACGGAATAACAAGGAGGTTGTGGGTGAAACTTGTGGCTTTCCCATCGAGAGAGGTTCGTCTCAAATAAGTTGGTATAGGTGCTGTCGCATGTAATAATCCTCGCATAGGAGACGCACGCCTGCTATATGATCTACGACATTCTCCACTTAACAATATCTCTCCTCGCATGGCAACGTCTCTCCTAGTATAGCAAAATAGGGCCATGGTATGTTAGAAGCCTCAGCCGCACGCTCGTCACTTTCAAGCTTTTCTGCTTGAAAATGTTTTGTTAGTGAGAACACACTTCTTCGGCCATTTTATCGTCGCAGGAAATGTGTCGTCTTGACGGTGATTCAGTACAATCACTTGAGAACAAAGCTTACAAGCTGCTCAGTTTCCTCTGGGCCTCGTCTCAAAACTGATTTGGTAGATCAGGTTGGAGACACATGACATGACATGCTCAGTACAACCTCTAATAGCCGGAGCAGCTAGCAGCAGCGAGTAGACAACTGCAGATGCTACAGAGGGAGTTGGAGCCAGCGCGTTGTAGGCTAGAGGAGGTAGTCAAGAAATTAGAAGACGACACGAGCGAGAATGGCACACGAAAGGAGGCCATTTTTATGGTAATTGACTAGTAAGTAACTAAAAGTTCTTGTTCCCCAGATGTAAGTATTGACTAGTATAAGTAAAAGTTGCACTAGTAACTAAAAGTTCTTCTAGTAGTCTCTACGGTCACGATGAGCGGTGGCAACAGGGACAATTGCACGCAGCTGTTCCCCAGATGTAAGTGATGAACGGGACTGATAAGTGTACAGGCCACCGCCTAAACCACTAAGCAAACTGCGCAGGGACTACAGTGAACCCCTAGCCTCACTCATCAGGGGCTACACCATGATGATGGAGATGTAAGTGACCGTGTTGTGATATGCATGCCAGGGAATTGTCCCAGCTATTTGAGCCGCCATGAGAATGGTGGAGCAATGGCGACCCTTTTCATGAGCAAGTCCTTCACACTTTGCCACAGAGGACACTTCTTCTGGATCTTTGTCGCCACTCACAGGGGAAGCACACTTTTCCTCGACAGCATCCTAAGGATGTATCTACGATAGCCGTAATAAGGCCATCAAGTAAGACCGGCCTCGCTTCTTGTTCACCCGATAAGGATCCCAAAACTGTAAGTCTTTCCTGCTCTTTGTTGTTCTGTTCTCGCTGCTGTTTCAAAATCAAAATCTGCGTCGTTTTCTCTTCAAATTGGTAGTGCCCACAAGGGTCAAAGCTGATGCGTTTTCGCTCGTGTTTTCACTAAAAAGTAAACTGATTATCATGCCCCCGGTACGCTTTCAAAAAATAGTGGATTCCCTTTGCTTCTGCTTGTTCCTGGTGCTGTTCAAAAATGTGAAAAAGTGAACTGATGCATTTTGATGATATCCCCCGGTCCTGATGGTGTTACTGTTATAAAGTGGCGGGCTATTTTCTTACTCGCGTGACCTTTACGCCTTCCCCCCTCAGGACCAAACAAACCCAACAGGGACAAACTTGCACAAGCCTGCGCGGCTTCGGTCAAACCTGCGCCATATTGCCCTAAAACTGCACCGGTAACCTTTCACACTTGCAAAATATCCGGCCCCGTTTTCTGTTCTCCTGCCCCGCTGCTACGATTGCGCCGGACTGGCCTGCGCCTGTAGTCGGTTTCTTGAGAGAAAGCAGCGAGGGGGCCAATGCGCTACAGTATTATATTATGATAGCGCTCAATCAAGATAGTGCTATGCTCTTTCGTGCAGCTCTAATGTTTCTTTAGTGCGGGAGAGTCTGGAGACACTAGCTGGCGCGCAAGCCGTACAGCCAGCACTTGTGGAGCCACAAGTACAGCCAGTACTTGACGCGGGTTCAGGAGGAACGCAGGCCTCAACAACAAATCTCGGCTATGAGGGCCATGCGGTTGTGGGGGCCTGAATTCAGGGATGGTGAGCAGGAGACTGAATAGGAGTTTGTTTTTTGCTGTCTTGTCAGTTTTATTTCGAACGTCAGTTGTTGGTTGCTGCTAGTTTCACGCTATTCATTTGTACAAAAGAATTTTTCATGAGTTTTCGCTACTCCTCTACGAATACTAAATTTGCTAATGTCTCCAATGAAATAACCATGTCTACTACGTAAATGAAATTAAGGTGCTATATGTTTTTACCTCTTCTACATTACAATGAGTCGGATGAATATGAATACTAGTGTATTATAAAACTTAAAGCCCTAGTACTGGAATTACTAGCCACTAGATCACAAATCAACACTTGTCAGGTGAAAACCAGCACATTGGTACTACAACAAGTTCAGTCATAGAGATATCTCAGTGCCGTGATCTTAAAAATGTCTGAGACACTAGCACTGATGAGGATACTTTATGACTAAACAACTCATCTTTTTAGGTTACAAGATTGCTGCTGGCAACAGAATTGTTATGTTACAAGGCCTTTTAGGAGACCAGGTACTACCTAGGCACTGCTGACTTCTGCTAGATAATGCTGACTTCTCCTAGGTAGGGCTGTGTCAGCTGCTAGGACAATGGGTTGGATGTCTGCAGTGGTTATTTTCAGCTTTGTCGAGGGGGGTGTGTCGAAAAGTGTGTAGAAAATATCAAGCACATCGTGTACCTCTGATCCAACTCGCGATACTTGCAGGAGATCACGACGAGTATTGATTTCGAGAAGCCTTTGATCATTATCCTATCATGATTGTTTCAGAACCTAAGTACTTACTTTGACGAGTCCTGTTTTTTGGTTTTTTTAGGTAAAAGATACAGGGTCGTTACTAGTGCTGTACCTCACTTCGTTTTTTTAGAAAGAGGACTACATACTATTGCAAAGAGCTTACGAGACGGAAGTTCATCACATTCTTCTAGTGTTTTGATAGGATACCAAGCTCCTGTCGTGTATGTGATTCCTTGTTCCTGCGTTTCGCAAAAGACACAAGATGGTCACAAAAAAGAGAAACAACAAATGATGGAACCCAACTACGACATCAAACATCAGACGACGTACACGCCATCAAGAATAGAAAGAACATGTTGCGCGTACTTTGCTCCCCACTCCGCAAAAACTACCCCTCTCCACCAAAACATGTAGCGATCGACAAGTTAGAGCTTGTTCATAAGGATAGCTTCCTGAACAAAAATTGAACAAGTTAAATGGCTTGATAAAGGGGAGCTTGATAAGGTACTTGAACACGACGACCCATAAGTGTGATTGGTAAAGGCAGTGATCACTGAAAGGCGAGGAACCAAGATGTATGAACAGTGTTCAAGGACACTGTGAGGCAGGACAGCACAAACGCTCGCTGAATCTTCGATTAAATGCCAGCGTATTGCGTACTCTCTACTTCTAGGACTAGACTCTGCATGTTATTGCCTCTTCCAATCATTCAAATGCGTTCACCTAGCGACCAACTTCTAACGTTCAGATATCCTAGAAATCTTGGTTGTATTGCATTTCAGTTAGAAATACTAACCACAAAGCCAGAGGCGAGTATGATCATTTGAGGATCTCATGAAAAGTGGAGATTTTGGGAAGAATTTAGCATGGTTTTCAGTCACAATGTCGATTAGTGTGTAAGCTACGTGCAATGCAGGACACAAACTTCTGCTGAATCCTCGATTGTGCAAGCAGAGTGTTGGTTATTTCTCATTGCCTCCTCGGGTGGAAACACCACCGTGAAATCGACGTGACTGAGGGTGGCTTCTTCTATACCGGCATGTATTTGGTCGCTCGAATGATTCAAAAGAGCAAAAGAAAAGAAAATAAAGATAAGGTATCCTAGAAATCTTAGTAGTATGGCATTCAATCTACGTATACTATAGTTTTCAGCTGTACAAAGCTCTAGCATTGTGAGATATGATCAAATTGCTACTTCGAATTAACAAACTTTAGAACTTTGTGAGTTGTGAGTCTCAAATTTTGGTTCTAAACTTTCTGAATTTTCAATTTCAAACACAAATTATCCAAGAAATTTTGATTATATCTCAAAATAATTCAATTCATATCCTGACGATGAGATTGACAGGAGTGTTGAGTCTGGAGAATCCTCGTTTTCTTTGAACACTACGACCAGTATTGAACTGAGTGCTGAAACACCACAGCAATATCTGCATAACAAGCACTAAACGCCCCATACCACTGCACTTAACAACGCCGTCGAACAGCAACAAGATGACCTCTACGTTGCGCGGAGGAGAAAGTGCTTTCACCGCGAAGCGTTCTTTGCGTCCTGCCTGTCTCCTTCGTGGCCTGTTTCTCCACGTTGTAACCCTGCTGTTTTTACTCCCCTGTCTTGGCAATGCTACTGGGGTTCCCGTTCGCAGCCTGAGAGGCCTTGCTTCGACACCGTTGAACCGATGGAATTGGCCTAGGCGTTCTCCTCTGTTAAGGCCTAAGTAGCTCTCTGGAACTAGGATAGGATTAGAGAACCATGGCTCTAGAAAGACTATGGGGAACCAGTTAGAGGATTATTATTTGGTGTAGAAGTCAAGGTAACAGAATTGAGGAGAACAGACCCCCTAGGCACTAGAATGAGAAGATACAGAGTCAAGCTATCAGAAGACCCCCTAAGCACTAGAAGGCTCGCGAGGAAAAGATCAAGGAATTATAGATACAGAATGAGAAGATAGAGATTCAGGCTCGCAATCAATGAATAGATGGTGATCTTGGGTGTTAAGTAGAGAAAGAAGGTTAAGTAGAGTAAGAAGTAGCTATTCATCAGGCGCCTCTAACTCTTGCCCCTACCCGTGACGTCGCCCCTGCTGGAGGTGCGGGCTCTACCAAGACGGCGAATACAAGTGACAAGCAAGACAGTGGTAGCGCCTCTGCGACGTCCATTAAGGTTTTTTTTGAATTAGCGAGTCATTTCTAATATTTCAAAAGAGGAGCATCCATCCTTGGTCTGTTTTTTCCCAAAGACAAAAAACTGACTTTCTAAGAAGTGTCTACAGTCTTCAGAATGAATGTAGATTCATGCAACGACTGCTAGTTTCTGACTCTAAAAGCTCAACGACTAGTAATGATGCAAACAGTGGCTCCTCTACCTCGAGTACCAGTCATGGTTCTGGTACAACTACGACCAGTGCAACTGGCCACGAAGGTGCCAAGAAACACAATCATCACGGTGGCTTCGTGACTGGAGCAGCGGGTCTTTTCTCGACTTGGTATCTTGTTGGAGGCGGCCGTGATGTAACCAAAAACAGTGCTGGCCCAGTAGGAGGCAAATGACTTCCACCATCAGAGAATTAGTACTAAGAGGACAACATGATATTGACACTTTATAGCGGATGACGGTGTCAGCTGGAGGAGGAGAATCAGAAGTGTGCAACTGGTTGCTTAGGCTGTGCGAGTAACAACAGATGACGACGTTAGCAAGAGGTGCATTAGAAAAGTACATGCACTCATAATTAAAGAAGCTATACCCTGCGAATGGGTACATCAATCAATCAATCAAGTTACTCGACTTGCAACGACTTCTGTCAAGAGGGTGAAGTCAAGAGGACGAGGTGGAGAGCGATTCGCGCACGTAATGGAGATGGTGGAGCCAGTACAAAATCATGAAATAACAACAACTACAAGAAAGTGCCTGCTTCGGGCAATACCATGCACTACCACGCAGGAAGAAGTGCTGTGGGCTGCAATATCATGCAGGAAAAACGAGAACTGTTGTACTGGTATCTCTAACAAGAGGCAAGACCTCTACTGGTATCTCGAACAAGAGGCAAGACCTTGTCGTAACTAACATCGTAAGAACGAAATTTGCAATTTTGGGGCAACGGGCAACATGGCGTCGCGTGCTACTCCACTTACGGCACTGACAATGATCATTTGTGTGGCAGTAACAGTAGCCGTTCGTGTGAGTACACGCGATACGAGCCAGCCTCGTGTGTCTACTGTGTGTGGACAAATATAGTGACTACTTAGTTTCTGTGAAGCATTAGATGTCGATGGTGTGTAGTATTTTCGTCTTATCGTGCATTTGTTTATAGAGCTGTTCCCACTGGTCCATAGAAGTAAAACATAACTGTCGCGTAGGATCATGTTGACGTTTTGTCGAGAAAAGAAAAGTTGTGGTCTTTTTTCATGTTTTTGTGCATCGTTCGGGAATATATTGAATTTGTTCTCTCAATACGATGGCAACTCACTTTCGTGTACAACCGTGTCTTCCGTTTCAGGATCTTCTTTCCTTGCATGATTTGCAAACTTTGTATTCGCAGAATTGTATTGTCGACACACTGCTGGAGCTGGTTTGTCCCGCCATTAGGCTATTAGTACTAAATGGGGCACCATGATGATGATGAATTGTATTGTCTAGGTCGCTCTGGACCTTCATTTAGCCACCCATGTATTGCCTCAGACAAGGCTATCTGTGATTATTTTAATCCGCACTGCGATGTCAAATGCTTACCATGAGGCGTGTGTCTACGTTGCTCTGTGTAAGTAGGTTTGCTTCAAACTTGACCAGGGAGGGTTAGACCTGAAGTGCATCCCCATGACGTCTTGCCTGATCTAACCCCTACTCATAACTTATAACCTTGTGTCTGCTGCAACCTCGTGTCTTCTGCTATAGATCTACCTTCCTCTCATCCTTGTCTTCTTTGTTTGTGAAATGTCGGAATAGACGTTCTTTCTGCCAACGGTTTTCCATATCAGCATGAGCATATTTGTTTTCTCCTCATCAAAATTCTGCACAGACTTGACATGCAACTACATGCGACTCAACAACTGCTCCTTAGATCTGCACGAACCTGGCATGTGGTACAACTAGATACCTGCATATTCGTGTACGTTCAGGAGATCCAAGTTTCTCGAGCGGTGGCCCTGGTAACTACCAAAAACCTCCCCCAAAAATCCTCGTGCCGTGTGGGGCGGGTAAGGTTAAAGATATGAGCAGATCTTCTGGAGCAATGGCCTCTGAAATCGAGCCAGAAATCTTCTAATTCGAGTTCTAATGTGGAAATCTTGGATTTACGAACTTGGATTGTCTCCATGTGTCAATAATTGGCGAGTCTTCTCCACGTATAATTAGCATGTTTCTGCTCAGCATGGAGAGAGCAACACGACATAATTAGATTCTCTTTGTCTTGCAGTGGCAAGGGAAAGGAGCAAGATCTGAAAGTTTTGGCGAGTCAACGCAATTTCAGGCTTCCCGTAGGGTAATTAAATGTTCGTATTCATTGCGGGATGAAATCGTAGATGACATAGGAAAAAAACGCAATTTTTGTGCTAAGCACATGAATGGAGTATAGTTTGAAATCGTTTATGTCCTGAGATCCGCACTAGCTAGACGTGCGAAAACGGAAGGCAGAGAGACGTTCTTCAGGCGCGAAGGGATGGTAGTCACTGGTGTTGTGTTCCCTCCTCAGTGAAATATTATCACAACTGACATCAAGATTGCGTGTGCCCTTGAAAAAAAGCTCATCTAAGCTCCCCAGGCTCGCAGATCTGATAATCCATGACGAGGAAAGCAAGAATTCAAGAAACGCGAAAGAAGATGTGATCCTGCAATTTTCAGCTGCTACAGAGAGTTCTTCCTGAACCACCTCTCGTGAATGATTGATCCAGCCTTGAAAAAGATCACCCATGTTCCTCGCTTCAATCCTCCCATTTTGGATCATCTTGTACAGCCTGTTCATTATGACAAAAATTTCTCAAATAAAAAGCACCTATCATACATAATTAATCAGACCGCTGGCCAGGCACATCAATCAATCAATCAGTCAATCAATCAGCTGCGCTTGATTTAACATCGTATGCTATGTGATACAGCTTCCACAACGTGACTCTTCTTTTCCAGGTGATTCTTCCAGGACATACAAAGCTACGCTTTCCTGGTATTCTAGACTCTTCATTCTGCATAGTTGCGAAGTAGATTCATAGAAGATCTCTTGCTTGAGTCTCAGTTTTGTAAGAAGTGTGTTACTAAGAGAACTATGTTTCGTCGTCCTTGGCGGTACCGACCGCTGCATTCTTGAGTTGGCTTTGTGACCACCGAAGCTGTACAGTGGTAACGCAAAACAAGCGACATCGACAAAGAAAAGCTGCCACAGTTTGTCCTTGAGGAATTTGCTGATTGTCTTGCCGAGTTACATTTTAGCGACAGATGCTTAGCGAGTGACCGTGCTGTGCAGGAGAAGAAGTACGCAAACAGCAAGACGCCTGGAGACCCTTTGGAGTCAAGCTAGAGGTACAACGCGAGGTATATTCACGACGCTGTTCAAGGCGTAAAACGGCACAGGCTTACGACAAAGAAGTAGACGACTTCCAGACTGTTTGTGGTCGTACTACCTGGTAGACGCGGACGTGATATCAGCAAGAAGGCACAGCAAAGACAATATCACGAGCGCCTCAAAGCTCATTGACTTTTTTACCAACGTTACCTGGTTTCTAAGGGAAGTAGTCGTTGGAGTATCGTGAAGCCTGTGCGTGACCAGACGAACAGCCGACTACCATCATCCTCAGACAAGATGGGCGACAACCATGATGGATCGCCTTCTGGGAGGTTTGCCTCTCGAAAACAGCAGTTCAAGCAGGGCCTGGACTTGGACGAGGCACGACGGTCTAGAATCGACGATGAAGTCCAAATCAGAAAGGCGGAGAAGGCGATGCTGCTGGCACAAAAGAGGTCACGCAATCTAAAGGGGGCAGAAGGAGCATCAGCACCAGATAGTACGACAACAGCAGTACAGCCAACAGGGTATTTGAGCTTTCTGAGATTTGTTCCTGTTTGATCTAGAAGTATAGAATTGTGCTGATTTCTTGGTACTAGAAGACGTCTAGAGCATCTTTCAGTTGTTTTCAGAAGACATTTGGATTGATTCATGAGTCTTGAGCAAAATTTTCAAGAATTTGAATTTGGATTATCCAAGAATTTTCAGTTATATGCCCTTTTTTTGGAATTCATTTCCTGATCGTGAGCTTTTCGGAGACAATTGAACTGGACAAGCACATACTAAATAGGAGAAATGAATCACCGTCAAACTTTTTTTCTGCCAACCAAGGTAGCATGATGTTTCTAGGTAACATGATGTTTCTAGCGAGGATCTTCGTAGGACATTGAACAAGGCAACAACCACTCCCTTGGAACCCACAACCAAATTTTCCTCCAACAAACAAACTTCTTTCTAGTCAAGAGTAACATGAAGATGTTCCTAAACAAACACAAGAAACAAACAAACAGTGAAACCGGTGTGGGAGCGAAATTCTCGAATTCTGAAGATCTGCGGACCTTGTTGCCGCAACTAGTGCAGGCGATTTTCAACGACGGCGACCGCGAGACGCAGCATGAGGCTGTAGTTTTGGTCAGGAAGCTCTTGTCCAAGGAAGAAAACCCGCCAATAGAGGAAGTAGTAGAAGCAGCCTTGACGCCGAAGCTAGTTGACTTGATGAGGACGAGCACCGATCCAAAGTATTTACTTCTATCGTAGCACTGTTTTGCAGCTTCTATGGATGCTTTTTGGTTGTGAGATGTCCTGTTTTTGGTTGTGAGATGTCATTTTTACTTCCCGTTGGTGTTGCCTTCACAGTATTTTATTGTTCATCTTCTCAGAGTCGTAAGTACTCTCTGCTCATTCACTCCTCAAACGAAAACAACACTTAAATATATCACCAGGTTGACGCTCGAAACCGCATGGGCAGTGACCAATATCGCTAGTGGAGATTCAAAATTTACGAAGTTCGTCGTGGATGCGGGTGGAATTGACGCTTTTCTCTCGATTCTCCAGTCCAAACAAGCCCTCAGACAGGAATTATGCGAGCAGGCAGTTTGGGGATTAGGTATAAGAATAAATCCACTTCCCTCAGGTCTTTGCTTAGAGTCTGCTAGATTGCATCTCGGCCCCCTCATCTTGGCCCCTTTTACCTTGTATTTCACGAGAATACAAGGAACAAGGGGACCAAGATGCCGAGAATGATGGAACGAAGCTGGCCATAATTTGTGGCTGGCTGTTTGGTGAATAGGTATCAGAATAGGTATCGGGAGCTGACTCATCTGCTTTAGCTACTTTGCAGATCTTTGTTAGACGCAGAGGTCGATTTTTGTTGTTGCGGCCGAACGAGGTTGTAGTACAAAGAACAGAAGATGGCTGTAGTACAGACTCCTGCTCTGCTTCTGAACAGGTAACATCGCTGGTGACGGCGCTTTATTGCGGGACCAACTGGTCGATAAGGGCATTATCAAGATATTGCAGAATATTTGTAGTGGCATTATCGAACTGCCCTGGAAGGAGACCGAGAAGGAGAACAATTTGAAGAACGTGCTCTGGGTCATGACGAATTGTTGTCGAGGCAAGCCAGCACCCGAATTTCAGAAGATTGAGCCAGCCTTGTCCGTTTTTGCGGAAGTAGTAGGGAGAAAAATGAAGGACAGCTTGGCAAGCGAGGCGTTATGGGGAATATTTTACGCGATTCAGAGCAACACGAGACAGGTACTTCTTTGCATTATCTACTTCCTGTTGGTTGTATATCTACTTCCTGTTGGTTGTATATCTACTTCCTGTTGGTTGTAAAATTCCAGTTCGAAGTAGAGCAGCAATAACAATAAAGCTGGCACCAAAATGGAACCTGCTGCGATGGACCTCTCTGCACCAGGAGAAGGCCCCTCTCTCTCCGCAAACCCGACCACTGGAGCCGTGGGTGGTGCGCCAGTCCCTCTTTTTGGGGCCTCTGGTGGTGTCCCTGCAGTGTCGAATAGCGGCGCCCATTTCGCGCCTTCCTTTCAGGCTCCGGGAACCGGGCCCGGCGTGGTTTCTGACCTGGCAGGCGGTTTCGTTGGTGCCGGCAAAGGTGAGCCCCAAGACGGTGTCTCTGTTGGGACGGTTGGCGCTTCAATAGGGGAAGACCCAACGGCCAGAACGCTTACTATGGAGCGGGACGGGCCGCGCGTCGCGCACCAGCAGGGGGAGAGAACCAGAGGACGAGAGACGGCCACAACGAGCAAGGGCCCCCAAGCCGTGGCCGTCGGGCCGCTACCGTCTGGCACGGTTCCGCCCGCGGGAGGGCGAGGCCCTGACAAAGAGCAGGCCATCCGTGACCGCGCTCCTTGTGGTTATCGACCAGCCGCGTCAACTACTACAACCACGCAGAACAATCAGGATGGAGGTGATAAGGGCGCGCGGCGTAGACAGGAGGGGCGGCAAATGCCGCCAATTGTTCCGCACCGTGAAGCTGGAGCGGAAGGCGGCGAGTACCACTGCGGCGGTGGTGCTCGCGCTGCTGGTCGGCCGGAGAGCGGCGGAGGAAATACAACAGGGGAAGGCCCAGCGATCACGGAGCGCCCTGGCTTGTGCTGAGTTGGGCGCCGTGGCCCAAAAGTGCGCCGCGTTTCAACGGCAAGACGAGAAAGCGAATGCGCGGCCAGCGGTGCGCCAGCACGCCCCTCAGAGCACTACCAGAACGACCAGCGACAGGCCCCACTCTGTTAGCATCAGCGCGTCTCCCGCAGTCGCTCCCGCTGGGATGGTGGCGCATGAGCGAGCTGGGACTGCGATCCCCCGACTGGTTTCACTCGGCCAGATCTACGGCGTGGCGTATTCGGACTCTACGAACCGCGAGCAGATTTACGGCGGACCATACAAGCAGGCGACTACGTACTGCCAGCGAATTTGCGAAGTGCGGGAACTGCGTAAGGCTCAAGGGTCGAAGAGCCCTACCCCCTGGCAGCACTAACCAAGGCGGACTAGAAGGCGCTAAATCGATTGCAGAATCTAAAAGATGACGCCCGAGCTGCGACCTTGCCGCCCCTGCTGAGCGAACAAGATGGGCGGGACGGCCAGCCTTGGAGCCAGCCTGGGGGCGCTGGAAAAGGTAAAGCCAAGGGCAAGCCCGGAGAGAAGGACTGGTCGGGAAAGTCTTCCACGAACTGGAACGGCTCTTCGTGGTATTCTGGCGGAAAGGGCAAAGTAAGGGAGATCCTCCTACGGCAAGCAGTCGGCCGCTAAGAAGTCGTCCTGGAAATCCGGACCATTCGAAAAGCCAGGAGGAGGGGGATATAAAAAACCCCCCAACGACTCGGCAGAATGGTTTGCCAGGCGTAGGCGTCATTTCTATGCGTGCTCCTTTTCCCGCTTGGTTCTACCAGTCCCAAGTCAAGTGGCAGAGGTTCCGAAAAGGTCGACCTTGGGAGCTTCCAGCCCTTCGCGGGGTTGTTTGTATTCTCCTCGCAGTTTTATCCGTATGGACCTCGAGTGCCGCGCATCGGGGTGCGCCCTTTCGTACTGGTATGAGCGCAGGGCCGCCTTTGTTTTACTAACTCGCAGGGCAAAGCTTCTCAGGATTTGGCGCGGCCACCAGGGAAGTGGGTGGATCTGAAGAAGGCAGAAGACAGAGGCAGAGCGTGCGCGCAGGCGAGGACTGGCCTGGGGGGACGCTCGACGGCGACAGAGGCAAAAGGCGGAGGAGGTTCGCCGCTCGAAAAGGGGGGAGGCGGCTGCAAAAGCTGCAGCAGGGCGGGCCATGAAGATAGACGGAGAGACGACGCGAAAGCGGGGGCGCAGACTCTCGAGGCGATAAATAGGAAGGGCGCCCCGTGCACAAGACGCGCGAAGGCGGGGAGAAGTCGCTGCAAAAGCTGCAGCCCGTGCACGAGTTGCGAGAGAGCTGGAGGGAATCGCTGAAAACAAAGGCTGCCGCCTTCGCACGGGAAACGCGTGAGCGGGAGGGGGCAGCTGCTGCAAGAGCGGGCGACGAGGCAAAAACGGCCGAGCGCGTTGCCCGGGGCGTAGTTGCAGCAAAACGCGACGCAAGCCCGCCCATAGTAAGGCGCGGCGTAAGCTTAGCCGTAGCAGGGCGCGACGTAAGCCCAGCCCGAGCAAAGCTCGACGCAGGCCCAGCCCTACTGAGGCGCGACGTAGGCTGGCCTAGCCCTAGCAGGGCGCGGCGTAAGCCCTCCGAGCAAAGCTCGACGCAGGCCCAGCCCTAGCAAGGCGCGACGTCGATCACATTTTCGCGCTTCGCTCTTTCTCAAATTGTATATGGGTTGCGCTCTTCTTTTTAAGCGTCTACCATAAAAGAAGGCGCGCCCCTTGTCCCCTGAATAATTAGGCCGTCTTGTTTTCGAGGTACTTCTTAACTTATCTGGAAATGCCTAAGAAGTATAGCAGTTCCGAAGTAGTCAAATAAAAGCTAAGTGTTCGCATTTTGGTGCCTTTAAACCCTACGTAATCAAATAAAAGTATTCGAAGTTAAGTGTTCACGGCACCCAGATACGAACACCTACAAGGTTATTTCTCTTCTCCACACTCAAATGACGGACACCACAACCGCTAGAAATCATCAACTACAACCACAACCACAACAGGATGAGAGCCACATGCGTTTAAACGCTTTGCTGCTTGCCGGACAGCAGGACCGCTCTACTGTCCTCGTAGAGGGCAATCCTTTAGTGCGGTGTTTAGTGGCGATTATTGAGCCAAAGGTTGCCCCAGAGGTGGAAAACGGTCGCTACACGGGTCGCTACATCTTAGCAGAAGGGAAGGAGGGGAATTACACGAAAGACATTCGCATACCAGCATTGAAGGCACTTGGGGAATTGATCAGTGCGGAACCAAGGTGCTACACTGACGTGAGTATTTTATCCGGCATAGTCCCAGCAGTGCTGAAAATGCTACGACTCGTAGACCATGCGCAAGCGAGGAAAGAAGGGTAATTATATACTTGGAGATTTACAGTAAAGGGTAATATACTTGGAGATTTACAGTAAGGGATAATATAGTACTGCCGGATAAAGAAGATGTAAATTTACAGTAAAGAAGGGCAATATACTGCTGGATAAGCACTCGGATTTAGAAGTATTTCTCTTTGAAGTTGTGAAGGTATTCGTTTTCATATTGTCGTGACGTAAAAGTCTAGTTCAGCTCTCTTCATCCTCAAATCTGCGAATTGAACAACGAACTACAGGTGTTGGCTTGTGTCAAATCTTTTGGCAGCCTTGCAGGACCAAGTTTTAGCAGCTATTATGCCTTACGATTTATCGGCGAAGAGCAATTTGAACGATCTAGTCCCACCGCAAGATAGTCCAAGCGAACCGCTGCCGCCGCCAACAGCAGACGTACTTATTTTGTTTTTTCTTGGAATTTTTTTTTGTTTTTTGGTGGCTATTCTTGATGTACAAGGTGTTAGTGCTAGTAGTGGTTGTACCCATCATGTTTACACTTCTCTAGTTCCTTTCTCAAATAAGAGGACAGGGGGAAGGTTTCTTTGTGATGTTATTGTGAGTGACGGTGCTGCAATTTTTGCGGGTCTACCGTCGTGATTTGCGACTGCAATTTTCATTGAAGAAGATGCAAGTTTTGCGTTCCCCTCGTGCTAATTCGTGATAAGATGTCGTTATCGTTAAGATAAGTGAAGTTGGAACAACGCTGATGCACAGGCCACGTCAGGAAATGAATTCGATTAAAAGTACATAAAACTCAAAATTCTTGGATATGACCATTTCAGGTCTCCATTTGAGTGCCAAATTCGAATTTGAAATGGTCATATCCAAGAATTTTCAGTTTTATGTGCTTTAAATCGAATTCATTTCCTGACGTGGCCTGTGCATCAGCATTGTTGAGCATGGCACTTCTTATCATTCAAAGTTTTAGATTGGTGACCAAAACTTACATTGTTGACCAAATAGAGACGCAGTCGATGGATAGTAGTTATCTCTGGGGGAGACGATTCTTAAGCAAGGAATCATAGGAGTGTGATCGTTTTGAGGATGGAAACAAGTATTGCTTCCCCTCCCGTGAAGGGCATCCGCACTCAAATGATGCGGCATACTCCTGTCAACTAGGGTAGCGAACGTTGTGACTCACCACGTCACTTTCTTCAAGATTATACTAGTCCTGCAGGTCACACTGCAACTCCTAACTCCTTTCTCTCACGTATACTATCTGCGCGAGCAAGCTAGCATTACCACTTATTTATCCTCGTGATTACTAGTATTATATTTAGTACCTCCAATCCATGCGCCTCCTTGTTTGTATCAACCTACAACAATCCATGCTAAGAACCCTACGAGTTAGACTGAGATCATACTAGCATTATCAATTTACAATCCATCTTCAACCTCCAATAGACCACTGAGATCATACTAGCATTATCAATTTACAATCCATCTTCAACCTCCAATAGACTGAGATCACACTAGCATTACAATTACTATCGCGACATAAAAAACTGCACCACCTCGCGGTAGGCACATTCATTCATTCATTCAATCCATCTTCAACCTCCATCTTCAACCTCCATCTTCAACCTCCATCTTCAACCTCCAATCTACACAGTTCCAGACGATGTTCGACGTGATGTTCGAGCTGTCGCAGCAACTGCAGCACAATGAAAGTTGGAACAAGATGAAGTATGATAGCGTGAAGGAACTGGTCTATTGCTATACCAATTACTTTGCGACGAATGAGATTGGCTCCATCAAAGCGCATTTGGAGCAATACTCAGGAGCAGTGTTATGGAAAGTTGTATTTGTAGTTGATCTTTGTTTGAGAGGATGTAAAGATCTTTGAGTAAGTATATTCGTAGTTGATCTTTGTTTGAGAGGATGTAAAGATCTTTGAGCAAGTGTTGATTTGTAGTTGGAAACATATTTGTAGTTGATCTTTGTTTGAGAGGATGTAAAGATCTTTGTGAACTAGTATAAGAATATAAGGTGACTAGTGAGGATACCTATTTATCAAGAAGTTGTACTGGAAGAAAAAGTCTAACTAAGGAGAAACTTCCCCACCGATTATTAGAACTTTTAGTAGAAAAGGTCTAGTAGAAACCCTCCTTCCTCCTCCTATTTGTCACATAGTTAGTGGGTGGAACAGTCCACATTTACGGCTCCACATTCTTAGGCTTATCTTCCCATGCAACAATCTAAACTTCTACTCTCTTTTCCTTCCCAACACCATAAATCTCTTCTGAAGGACAGCAACCTTGAACTCGCATTAGAGATCTCTAATTTGACCGACTTCCGGTACTGACGAGGTGTTGCCTTTGCGCAATGTTTTCAAGCTCGTCGGCGAGTATTGTTGGCCGTATTATGACGCGGAAACCGGTTACGGCAAAGTCCCGGACGCCTTCGTGCACCACTGCACTTTTTTCCTGAACCTATTCCAGTCGCGCCAGTGGGAACCCACGCTGTTGACCAACATGGTGGACGCCGCGCAGAAGCTGCTCAATGCATCCTCCAACCCGAACGCGGAAGCACTCAGGAGAGAGTGCATGACGTTAAGGGTTGAAACATGACGTCATTTCGAGAAGTCATTTTTTTCACTGTTTCCACCTTGAGAAAGTGAGAAAATGAAGGCAACAAATGAATTGTCTCAACCTGCTCTAATGACGTGCGGTTTTGCGGAGCGGATTGACGACGTGATCACCCGGCTGCAGCAGAACAGAAAGTCCAGCGACGCATTGTTAGAGAAACTAGTACAATTCAAGAACCTGTACTTCCCAGACGACGACCTAGACGACGACCACTTCCTCAGCGAAGGAGGAGGGCTCTTAAGCGAGCAATCCTTCGGTCAGGGGATGGAGAAAGTGCAGAACTTTGACTTCAGTTGATCACCTCAGTCTATGAATTGATCTATGTTGAGGATGTGATAAAACAATCTAAGTTTCTTGGAAACATCTCTGTCCTACTTTCAACAGAGAGGCAACCTTTCCTCACGTCAGTTGCGTCTTTAGTTTGGAAACGTCTCTGTCCTACTTTCAAGAGAGAGGCAACCTTTCCTCACCTCATCTTTGCGTGGTTGTCTATGTCTAAGATCTACCTCTTCTACGAGGTCAATTATACATCGTCCATGATTTTGGTACTAGTTTGTCCTCTGATAATGAATGAATAATATAAGTACATGATCCTTGTTGCTGCTGCACACGACCCCACAGAAATGATTAAATTGTATTAGCTGCGGTGAGGAGTACCATTCTAGCTGTTGGGCGGTTCAAAACACATAAAGAACGCCTCTGCCAGCATCTATCTGGCAGACCTCTGCTGGAAAAGATCTTCGTAGGCTCCACATCTAACGAAAGTAACACTACTTGGAGGAGGTCCTCTGAGAGCTAGTTCTACTAAGTAACCACATTTATTTGTTGTACTACTTCTTTGAACAAAAATCTTACCAATATGCTTGCTTACCATTTTAAGTAAGTTGTCCCTACACCTAGTTCTTAGACCCCTTATTCTGCACGCAACCTACACACTACGATGAATGAGTGAATGGAGATGAGACATATGCGTCCAAACAAGATGATGCTGACAGCCTCACCATAGTTGTAAGGAGAAAGAAAGAAAGGATCAGGGGGAAAGGTTTCTTGTGCGCAACGACGAAGAGGACAATCATCGAACCCACTACAAGCACAACTACAGCAGCTTTGACCTTACAGCAACTATCATGAGGTTTTCCTTTTGCTCGATCTGGAATGATTTCACTATAATTGTGAATGATCCGACATTCGAAGAAAATTGAAATGATTTGGATCGAAGATGATATGATCAAACACCCGCAAACTGGACGCTTCATTAAAAAAGGCTTGCTTTCTACTCAGTTTTATTGTAGACTTAGAAAAGATCTTAGTCCCATCGAATAGAAATAAAATCACTAATTGTCAACATCCAGGCTTGCTTTCATACAATTCAGCATTGTTTGTAAGCTTTTTACCGCATCGTTCGACAACTTTTAGTTTCACAATTTTTTCCTGATCTTGTATCATTATAGTTTCGATTTCCCCTATCGATTTCGATTCTCCGCTTAGAATTCGAAAAAAATGTTCGGTGGAGGTATGTCACAGCAGCAGTTCGGCGCACCCCAGGCGCCACCGGCAATTACCCAGCAGAAGGTAGAGGCAGAGTGGAAGTTGGTGCTCGTGGGCGATGGCGGTGTGGGAAAAACGACACTTGTGAAGCGACATCTTACTGGTACTATTCAAGACGCTTGTGAAGCGACATCTTACTGGTCGTACTTTTTTTCTAAGGGAGGAGCGTGCAGGTGCTATGTGCCTATTAGGGGTGCGCAGAAAATAGAACTATATCTTCTTTTCTAGTAAATGGTCTTATGATCTATAGTATATTTTGTTTCTTTCTATTAACTTTCCCATTATTTTTATGCCAACATAGGTGAGTTCGAGAAGAAGTATATTCCCACATTGGGAGTTGAGGTGCATCCTTTGAAATTTGCGACGAACTGTGGCGTTATCTGCTTCAATGTGTGGGATACAGCAGGCCAAGAAAAGATGGGCGGATTAAGAGATGGGTACTGACTTATGTCGATATAGGGATACTAGATGGGTATTTCTTGGTGGATAAATGGATTGAGAGTTGTGGTAAGGAGAATAGGTGAACCCGCCTAAACCAGCCATAGCCTTTTCCTAGAAGCATGTCGATCCTTTACTAGTTGTTCATCACTACCGGCATTTCTATTTCATCAACAACGTAAAAGAGGTGATTGATTTGTGAAAAAAACAGGTACTACATCCAGGGAGAGTGCGCAATTATCATGTTCGACGTGACCTCGCGAATTACGTACAAGAGCGTCCCGGAATGGTAAATTTCCTAAGTCTTAGATTATCCTCCAACTGGTTATGTCTTTTGTCTTCCTAAATGTATGTAAGCTTCTGCCTATCTTGATCAAGCAACGCAATATCTTCATCTTCACAAATCAATCAATCCATTTTTGGAGAATCCCTTCCAGAAAAAAGTAAGTACTATGCAGATCGCTTTTTTTTCTTTCCGCGTGATCCAGGTACAAGGACATCGTGCGAGTCTGCGAGAATATCCCGATCGTATTGGTCGGAAACAAGGTCGATGTCAAGGACAGGCAAGTCAAGGCACGAAACATCCAGTTCCACAGAAAGCGAAATCTTCAGTAATATTTTTAGACTTTCTTTTGGCTTAACGATTTTTAGCTACAAAGGTCTAAAACACTTTCATCTATACCTGCTTTTCTACCTTCTCAACCTCCTGAAACACTTTTCTGTTTATACTTACCTTCAAACCACTCTCCACCATACAACTGCCTTTAAACAACAATTTTACAACAACAACAACAACAACAACCTCCATCTCGGTTCCAACATCACAACCAACCAAGGTACTACGATCTCTCTGCGCGATCGAACTTCAACTTCGAGAAGCCATTCTTGTGGCTGGCGCGAAGGCTGAGTAGCAACAAAGACCTTATCTTCGTGGAGGAGGTTGCGAAACCACCCATCGTCCAAATCAACCAAGAGGATATCGCACGTCTTCAGGCAGATGCACTGGAGGCAGCCAACGTGCCGATCGACGACGAAGATGACGACGACTTGTAGACGGTTTTTTTTTTCGGTTTTTCATTGAAGACAAAGAACGATGTTTGATTGTTATAAGGTTTAGGGACGTATTTTAGGAGAAACTAGTCTTGATGTCGTGATCGTAAATCTGAACTTGATTCAAGGAGGATGAAACCAAATTCTCTTGAAAAAGTTGTCTGAAAAGAGGTAGAGCCGCATTTCTACAGAAGGCGCGAGAAGAACTGGTGTGGGAAGGACTGTCTGGGAGAAGTGCGTGGTGAGCTTCTTTTCCTGTATGTTAGGCCTTCCGCCATAGGAGGAATTTTATTAAGCCGAACCACACTGCTGCCTCTATCAGATGACAGGGTGGTGAACGACATGAATTTCCTCATTAAAACGACCATTTATACGAGCATGGCCACCTGAGCTTTTATCGGAATACGAGTTGTCTTGTTCGAGTGAAATTAACTTGGTTTGACTGAGCTCCTAACATTAAGTCATCAAACTTCTACATTTAGCGCAAAGATGGTCAATGGATCCTAAGTCTTTTTTCCCGAAATTTGCATCATATAGAACCTACCTAAGCCTACGCTCTTGGTCGTTGATTCGCTCTCAGAAAGCTTGACTACATCTACAACGAACCCAAAAGATCTTCCTTATATCACAAGTTAAAACTACTGTATTTGCATTTATCGCGAGATTTTTTAACAGAGATGAGAATAAGGAGTAGGGCCTATCAATGAAGCGCTGTGACCTTCGTACGGTCATATCAATGAAGACTGGGCTTCTCATGGGAAATCCGAAGGTGTTGTACCCACGCAGAGTGCAAAAAAGGCAGTGTCAACAGCACTGTTCCGAAGCTGCTACGTGCAGGTTTTAAAGAGATGAGCGAATGTACTAGAGCATTTTTGACTGGACGAGAGTAGGGGATGTGGCCTTGGAGCGCGTTAAGAGCGACATGGAAGCTGCTTGCTCAGAACTTCACTTGTGTGGCCTGGTAGTGGGAGTGGCATTCGAGTGACGTTGGAGTGGCATTCGAGTGACGTTGGAGTGGCATTCGAGTGACGTTGGAGTGGCATTCGAGTGACATGAGAGAGCAGCAGAGTAGTAGCGACAGGAGAGATTTGTACCGCATTGATGGGACGATGTCAACGGCCCAGTGCAAGTCTTAAGAGTAGGACTACTATAATCTTTGATCATCAAAAACATAGTTCATAACCGATTTTGCTCCCGCTTCACACTGACTGTGTCTTGAGTCACTGACTCCTATCTCATATTCTTGTCAACTGCTTGAAGATGTGAAGAATCCATGACCTATAACTTAGCTTTTGTTCCATCCGAAGCCTAACCTTCCCTATTCCATCCGACGACAAGTACAAAAAGATGTCTACCGTTCTGGGGTACCGACCTCGAAGTGCCGTCTCTTTACGGCGAGGCTTGTCGCCGGTAGACGCCCTTCCATGGTCGCTTGTTCTTATGTGTCAAGGAGTGCCGCATTTCACTTCCCAGATGGCATTGGGCGCAGATGTTTGTGTGGATGGCGCCTATTGCAGTGGGTATTCGCACGGCTGCAACGACGGATTCTGCCTTACTTATGGAGAGTTTGCGATAGTATAAAAGCTGCAAAAGGGTTACTTATACGTATTTGTGTTGAGGTACTCAGAGCTAGAAAAGTTTACTCTCTCTCCAGAATTGGATCGGTGGGAGATATGCATAGTATACGTATTTGAAAGATGTTGGTGGTCTTGTTGTGGCGGTATGTTTTTCAGAAGAGGAGTGTCTTGTTGTGGCAACTGGAAGAGCAGAGTTTCGAGGAATCAACAAGCGTTGGATTATTTTTCGTTGACTTGAATGGGCTTGGTCAGTTTCTGTAGAGAGCAAGGGTAGTATGGATAAGCAGTGTTTTGAGGTAGAAAATTGGGGTAGTATCGTAGATAAATGACTCTGTGTTCGATGCTTCTTGGAATCGCCAGCTTCTAAAGTTCAGATATCCTAGAAATCTTAGCCCTATCGCCTTCATTGTAGCTAAGCTATAGTCTTCTGCTATTCATTACTACAACAATGTCATGCATAATGCCATTAGTGGTTCGAATTCATAAACTCTAGAACTTTTTAGAGTTGTGAAGTTCAGATCTTTGATCTAAAATCTTTGAGTCTTCAATTTCAAACTCAAATTGGTAGTTAATATCCAAGAAATTCTGATTATATTCCAAAATAATTCAATTTAAAACCTGACGATGAGATTGACTGGAGTTGTGATTCTTGAGAATACTCGCTATCCTTGAGCAGTGGGATCTGTACTGAAAAACGTGCTGAAACACCATCGAAATAGCGCATAACAAGTAGTGAAAACCCCACCATACTGCACTTAAAAACGCATAATACTGCACCTAAAAACGCAGCTGCATGGAGATCCAGGTGGTCAGTTTCATAGTAGGTAGATACAGGATTACATTCCCTGACTGGGAAGGGCAGGGTTAGAAGCTGGGAAGGATCAGCTTCGAAGCCCAGAGGGTCTAGAAGCTTAGAAGCCTAGAAGGTATAGAAGCTTAGAAGCCTAAAAGGTATAGAAGCTTTGAAGCCTAAAAGGTATAGAAGCCTAGAAAGCCGAATGAGCATAGTCCCAGGTCGAGTGAACCTAGTGGAGAAGCTTAAAAGCCCGAAGGCCCATAGTTGAGAAGCTTCATTGAGCACAGTGCAGAAACTAGTCCAGCTTGCATGGTGGCATAGAACCTTCAGTGAGCATAGTTTAAGGCCGAAGAGAAGGCCGACTGAGCATAGAAATTTCGCAGCTTTAAGGAGCGTAATTCCAAAGCCCAGAAGCTAGTCCAATGAGCATAAAAGATTATTGAAGCTCTAAGCTCCAGCTGCCGGTCGGTGTATGGAGTGTCCGTGTGTGGTGGACGACGAGCAGCGCAGCCGCTGGGAGCGCGAGCAAGGTCTTGTAGATGTGAGGGTGATCGAGGGCGTGGCGCCTGTTCAGCAAGGAGCGCAACAAGCTGACTAAGGCAAGGAAACTTCTATGTATCAGGACAAGAACATCATGATCAGCATCGTGTCGGCATCACCTCTGCTGTAGCTGTTTCTAACGAAAAATCTCAGCCTCGTGTCAGCATCACCCTTGTTGTCATTGTTTTGATAACTGAAAAAGAAACCTGTGGTCAGTCATTTACAGGCCATTCAGGACGAAAAGAGGTTTCCGTAACGGAGTTGACCTAAGGTGGCTCTGCCAATTCTACTCCTGGAGGATGAACCAGAGATGGTGGCAGGGATGCTACTGCAGTAACTCTAATGTCAGGCGTTCGTGGAAGTTTCGTGGAGTGCAGAGTCTTCTGAGGAGACAGGCGAAGAGACCAGTGAGGAAGGCGAAGAGAGAAGCGAAGATGACGCGGAAACTGAAGCAAATGGAAGTGCGCAGCAACAAGAGCACAGTGGCACCAGTAGAACCGATGATGCACCGTCTCGTACGAGTGGTGGGCAGAGGAGCGGTGGTGGTTACAAGATAGCCTTAAGGCTCTCGATCTAAGTCATCTTTTTGAGTGCAGCTCTGAAGGATAGTATTCAATTTACTTGACTACAAGAGTACTCTCTATTGGAATACTACCTGACTACAAGGGTATTCTAGACTTGAGTACAAGGCTGATTCTACCCTTGACTACAAGAGTACTCTATAACTCGAACAACGAGAATACCCGTCTACTTATAAATACTCTCGAAGATGCACTTGAAAGACCGGGCCACTCTAATAGTGTTTGGGAGCCCCTGCTTTGGGGTCATACCGCCAGGCACGGTCTGCGATGCTTTCAAAGTCGTCTTATGGCCTGAACCCTAAGGTAACAGTACGGTTGAGGTTCAGCAAAGCAGTGAACTGGACCGAAGGTTTTCGAGTTTTGCCTTGATCTAGTAAGTAGCACCGCTTACCAGTAACGAGTAGTTGCTTTTAGGTCGTTGTCGACAGAAAGGCGCGCTGAGTGCCAGCGAAGTATGTTGATTCGTGACTGTGATTTTGATTGCGTCTGGAGCAAAATATGTCAGCATACTGTGCTGATTGGTGACTGTAGTTCTGATTCGAGTTGGAGCAAGTTTTGCCAGCGTACCATGCTGATTCGTGGTTGGGTTTCTGATTGAAGTTGGGGTAAGTGTTGCCAGCATGCCCTGCTGATTCGTGAGTGTAATTCTGATTGTAGTTGGACACTGATCGAAGGGTTTAAACTGATGAGTGGTGTGCTCAACGATGCCTGGCCAAAGGCTTTGTCAGGAAATGAATTCAACAAAAAGTAGATAAAACTGAAAATTCTTGGATATTGAGCCCATATCCAAGAATTTTCAGTTTTATCTCCTTTTTGTCGAATTCATTTCCTGAGGGGTCATTGTTTGTCGACAATGATTGCACTAGTTGGAAATCTTAGATTGGTGTCAAGATTGTCTAGTACTGTTGTTGTTGATGTCTGCGAGGCGTATTATCTTGCTCTAAGATGAGTTATGTGGCACATTTTAGGTTGAGAAATGATGAAATTTGAGGTAATATGAGAAAATTTTAGGTTCTTGGATTGTCAAAGATTGAGATTTTAGGTTTTCTAGATCTGAAATGGGTGAAATCAGCTCAAAACAACTTAATTGCAGCACAGTATGACTGTAGAAGGAAGCAGCTGCTCTTAGTTTGTACTATTTCTAGATTTCGAAGTCTATAGGTCTAAAGTTTCAGTCTTTGGGTCATTCTGGCCTACAGAATGCTTCTATTTAGCTCGAGTATCGGCATGGGATGGACGTAGAAGGGGGCACTTAGTCATTACCCTTTTCGGTTCGCTATCAGGAGTAGGCACACGCTCCGCTCAAAGACAACAAACCCTAGTAGTACTATCACGAACTAGAAGTAGACTGTGTGCTTAATTTTGGGTTTACAAATCGCTATGCATCCACATAATCCCGCATCATACACCATCACTGATGCTGTTCTCTGGGTCATCCCGCATCATACTAGCATAGTTTTCTTTTCCGTGCTATAGTCGGTATTTGGTCCTGCACCATCACTGATTCCCATCACTGATGCTGTTCTCTGGGTCCTACCATTTGACACTCGGTTATTCGGCTAGCTTCTCAGGTATATTTTCTTTTTGACTACTGGTTTACTCAATCGTCTTCTAGACTGGATCATCTCTTACAGATCTCTCACAGGATGTCCGGTTGTAGTGCAGCGTCAATTCAAGCTTGTATAGCTCTAAGGATAGCGGCACCGTATTCCATGCAGAGCTCTGATTACGTTGCTAGCGGTGGACCGAAGTTAGCAGGAGATGTGACGGAGGGGAGTACTAGTTTAAGGCTGCTTGTTTTCTGTCTCGCCCCTTTATTCATTGTCGAGGACAACATCTTTCTAGATCTCCTCTATCTCTCTGTGCAATAGATTTGCTGGTTCTCTAATGTCGAGGCAAATCTTAGGCAAGATGGAAATCTTAGGCTCTATCCGAATCGATTCAACTAATCTCTTGTGCGTTTCTCTAAGGCGCAACATCGTTTCGAGGAGTGATGTGATAGTGCGAGAGCGATCTGGGTCGGTGCTGCGGTGTGTCGCAGGTCGTTGGCAGCCAACCTCTAGACTAGCCTCAAATACCGTGCAGATACCCAGTTACAACAGCCATTCTCAAGTACATTTTGCAGCCCCAGATACGGATACGGGAGGGATGAGAGACATGTGAGGGATGGCGTCGAATGCAAGTAGTGCTAGCAGGATGGCATACTTCTTTCGCTTTCGCATAGAAGTCGGGATGAGTCACAATGTAGACCCGTTGCCTGCATTTAAAACTACGAGAAGACCTAGCAGAAATAGGATCTATGGCTACATCGTATGCAGAAGTAGCAACATCACATGCAGAAAAAACAGCAACTCGTATACAGCCGAGCGAGGCAAAAACAAGACGAACAAATCACGGGATCAGTGTTCAGTACCTTTTACATATATTGTTGCATCTAGTGTAGCATTGTTCGCTACAACGCGTCGTCTCGGAAGACTAAAAGGACACGGGGAGCCTACAGACGCAATAACGACAAATGGCCTGAAGATTCAATGCGCTGCTTTCTCGCTTACGCAAGATGTATTCCGCGAAGGATGAGCGGTCACGAACAAGGTAACTGCTTGTAGCAGGAGCGCTAAGCTGGCATCAGAATAGATCGATGATACGGGTTTAACACATGGCGGGCTCGCTGAATTAAACAAGGGAAAAATGACAAGGAGGCGTCTAAGACTACGAGGCGTCGGCTTTCGTTTGGCAGTCAGATTTGACGTAGACGAGGAATTTTGGCGACTTGATGGGAGCGGTATAGCTTGGGCAGCATGAGAAGGAAGATACCAGCACGCGCGCGTATGAAGACTTGAGATGAAGATTCCTGAAAAGTGAGGAACACAGTCGTCTCTCCCAATGACAAACAACAAATACACGAAGTAGTACGTAGTCCTGTTGAGAAATCCTTATTGTTGAAAAATTTTCTCGTAGAAGAGTTGCAAAGAAGAGGTACGAACCCGAGTACCGGGAAATGGGTTCAAACCGTTCCAAGAAAAGGGTGCAGCAGAGCAAGGATGCAGAGACACAAGATTCAGGGAGCAGTTGACAAAATTACAATCATTTACACTGCCAAAAGATGATCCTCGAGAAGAGAGTGCGTTAGTAAAAGAAGATCCTGGAGGACAAGGTACTTCTAGAGGATCCTGAAGAGAGAAGTGTCCAGTATTTTAGCCAAAGTGTCGCAATCGTTTTATCAACTAGATCAAAAAAAATATCCTCTAGAGGAGAGAGTCTAGCCAGTAGTAAAAGATGAGGGCAGCTAGGGCTTCCGTTTCTCTGCTGGTGCCTGTTTTGGGGCTGCCGGTTTGTGACACTCACTGGACGGAGAGCTATAGCAGCTTGGATGACACGCTTTCAGCGGTGCTCCCTTCGGATGGCTCCTCAGGCGAGCGGGAAGGCGAAGGCGTATTCAGGTGCTAAAAAATAGCTTAGAGTTTTCAGGTTCAGGAGGTAGTACTAAAAATGCCTACAACTAAAATTGCTTACAGTGAAGATACAGGGCACAGCAATCTTCAATCTATGATTAGGGTACTACAATTTTTAGCATTGATTGAGCATTGTGGCTCATGATTAGACTCACTATTACCCCTCCTACATACTTCGCGCATTAGTTGTGATCAATACTGTGTACCGAGCATCCAGCAAGCATGAAATTGCTGTACTTGTGGTTTAAGGCAATAGCATGCACTCTTGAGAAAAAGTGCTTGGTCGTAGTAGAAAGAAACTACTTGTTCATCAACTGAGAATGATCGAGTTTTGTTTACTTCAACGTCATCAAGTGATACTCAAAGCAATGATGGCACACACATGCTTGTTTTTCCATGCTGATAAGAAGAAACAGATCACAATGTTCAAAACAAAGAATTAGAGTTTAGCGAGGGGATTGGGGAAAATATTCCTAGAGCCGTAACGTAGTTTCAGGAGAAAATCTAGTGGGTGTTTGGTTCAACTTCCACTGGGGTATCCAGAAGTACTAAGATGTAGATTTTTTAGAGTCAAAGTGCGACGTTTGAGGTTATGCATCAGGCATCCTAGAATTTTGTAAGAGTTGGGGACATAGGATGAAGTTTTTTATTGATTTGGTTCATACGTAGACTGGATAATGAGTGGGTTTTGAGGAGATTCAATAGTGATACCAACCTAATCGGAGTATAGAATGTTATGTTTGATGACATCTCTGGATGTTTTGGTTGATTTTTGAAGTGTGTGCAAAGGAGCTCGTCAGAAATGAATTTCAATTAAAACAAGATATAATCAGAATTTCTTGGATATGACTTGAAAACTCCTCAATTTCGTTTTCGATTCAAGATTGTTATAAGAATTTCTACATTCATACAACCTAGAATAGTACAACATCTAAAAGTTTCATGATTTAGATCTTCTAACATGATGACCATCAAACAAAACTCAACTTTAGATGCTGACCAAGAAATCTAGAAAATCTAAATCACAGCAAGAAGGAGTACGCCTGTGCAGCGTGCGTGAAATTGGTGGTGGATAGCAAGAGTTGCGACGTTATTCCCTCGTCAAAATGCTATGCCTACGACGTCATGGGGCATTTTGGAACGAAGACAGTAGAAAAGGTATTACACAACTCGATTCTAAGAGCTGCTGCTTCTTCATTAGTATTCTCCACTCTGAAACCGAAAGTCTGCATCCATCTCATGGGTTACGTTTATCTGGATTGATTCTAAGTATCATGTTCTTTCCCTCTAAATCTAAATCTTTCCTTCGGCGAGACTACTAAATCCAAAGAATCTAATAGTGAAATCTATAAATAATCTAAATAGGGAATCTAAATAATCTAAATATTTAAATCTAAATAATCTAAATCTCGGTTACTCACCTTCTTTTCCCAGGTAACAGGCGGCAAATTGGGTACGACTACGATTGAGGATACTACGGACGAAAACTGGACATACGCGCTGAGTGGGACATTACGGCTTTTTCATGGCCAACTCCCTTACTTGAATAGACAATGTTTGCTCATAACCCGAAAAGGACTCCCTACGAATAGACGGGGCCAATACAGTGGCTATGACTGAAGAGACGACTATCCTCCATTTATAGATTCCACGATTACGTATTTAGATTGTAAAACTACCACAGGATGAGGAGTCATGCTTTCTCTAAGTACATGTCATTTCTCTTCTAAGTACGGCCTTACCGGATGGAGCGGTCGAATGCGCCCCTGTCCTCTACAAGGCTATGAATCCAGATGCCACCCGACAGGTGATTGATGCTGCCTGCGCTTCCGGAAACGCACTCTGTGATTATGGTGGAATTTTAGCTTCGATGCGGAAGAATTTCTGCTACTCTTGGAGAATTTCTGCTACTCCCTTCTCTCCCTCCGCCTTGGAAAATTTATCCTTCTCCTCTGCTCTAGAATGTCTCCTCCTCATCTCCTCTAGAATGTCTCCTTCTCTCATCTCCTCTAGAATGTCTCCTCCTCATCTCCTCTACTATGCCTCCTCCTCATCCCTCCTCCTCCTCTAACCCCAAGACCATCCGAATAAGTTCCAGGAGTGCTGCGGAGGCATGGTGCCGCCGGATCAGCTGTGTGCCACTGGCAAATTTTGCTGTGGCGAAGAGGGAAAGATCACTTTCGGCAAGGACAAGAAGGAGGAGTGCGCAGCTGCCACGAACGCGGCAACAAACGTGTAGATCGAGACTAACGTGTGGATTGTGGATGGAGATGGGCTTCGCAAGATTGTGGAGACCTGGAGTTGGTCTAGACACGGTCAAGATTTTAGTTTAGATCCGTTTAGCTGTGTGATTTAGAAAGATTTGGATTTAGAGGGGTTTCCGCCTCAGCCCTGCGCATTAAGCACCGGATCAGCAGATAAGTTATGAGTGAGTCTCGCCGCGGACTCGCTGACCGGTAGCTCCCCCTACATGCAGACACTTAGCCCAGATTCTGACTAGTAGCCTCCCTGCTCTCAAGAACATTTTGGAGAGATTTTTGTTTTCGCGTGGGGCTGTTTACGTAGGAGTGTTTCGTTGCGGCATCAAACACAAACACATGTTGTTCACGAATCCTCCATCACGAGACAGTATCAACATGGACTTAGCGTATGCAATGCACAGTATACACTCATTTGACGTTACACCATCATTGTTTTTCCATTCGCACATGCACTTTCTTTTTTGATTGTTTTTTCCATTCCACACAAGACGAGACTTACTTTTTTTGTTGACTTCTGGCCACCTGTACTAACGTATCGACATTGACTGACTGGCTTCTGAATAACGATTCCGACGATCACGTGATCACGCTTCACCTTTTACATGAATTAATGTTTTTTTCCGACTGGCAATGAAAGTTGAGTCTGCCCTGGCGGCAGGCGCAGGCAATCGCAAGCATGCATTGTTGGAAGCCGTCCTTTCTTCTTGCTACTAAGCGATTCTCGCTAGCTAGCACGGGTGATCGATATCTGTAAGTGAGCGTCTGGCGTCACGCAGATGATCAGGTGACTATCGCCAGGTGACATTTCGGTCTATACATTCGGTTTTTTGAAGGTTTTGTTCACGTGAATGTAATGACTATGTAGCAACGCAAAAGATCTAAGAACGAATGATCCAGTTTGGACAAGTGCTGCTACCTAGTAGGCGAAGGTTACTCTTATTGAAGAGGACAGAAGATTTTGCTGTTCTGAAAGAAGATCCGCTGTTCTGCGTGTCGCAAGCCAGAAATCTCTTACTCTTAATCTTAAGCTACATGTTCAAACAGCCAGATCTCTCCAGAAAGGCAAGTTCAATGGATCGAAGACACATGTTTTACAAGGTGATCCCTTGGTGCATCCATCGAATGAATCTGTAGATCCACGATCGAGCCCGGATCGAGATCTCAGCTGGACGCCAGTATATATGGGATTATTTAGGATAAGTCATGTAGGCTCTATGACAACTCACTTCGCGACGAAGACAAGGTCCAGAGATCTTGGGGTCTGCGTGAATGCCGACTTTCTTTCAATGGCGAGATTAAAGATTGTGAATTCCTACATTTCCATGTTGACTACGCTAGTCAGGATAGATTTCCTGGGATTCGGTATCCTTCCCTTCAAGTGTAGATGTTGTAGATCTAGCTTTACACGGTAGCTTAACTTTCTAAAGAACCAATCGGGGTCACCTGGACCTCTCCACTTATAAGTACTTCTGCAATTCCTTTTCTGAAAAGGTGGAACCTCTGTTTCTATCATCAAGACCGACTGACATATTTTTCCTTCCTGAAAAATGGACGTTGACGAGAATCAGAGTCTGGAGGACGGCCTCAGGTCGATCCTCTCTGGTTTGGATGCGGACCACAAGCGGGCCTTCTGTTTCCCCGCAGAGGGGAAGAAGAAGAAGAGGAAAACACGAGAAGCTGAGAAGACGGTGGATGACCAGAAGGTCAAGGACGTGAGCGAGAAGAAGGACGTAAGCGTGAAGGAGAAGGACGTAGACTCTGCATCGACGAAGAAAGCGACCAAGGCAAAGGTGGTGAAGGAGAAGTACGTAGAATCCGCATCGACGAAGAAAGCGACCAAGGCAAAGAAAGTGGTAAAAAAGGGAGCTGATAAAGATGCCAAGCAGACGCACGAGAAAAGCAAGGCCGTTGTGACGACGAAAAACAGCACTAGGAAGAACTGTGGCGGGCTCTCCCACAATGACGCCACACCTTCTCCATCTGCAGTACAGGAGGAGCCGCCGAAGTCGGTTTCAGCCCTTTTAGCCCGACTCAAAGCAGGCATGCAAAATGGAGGTGCTGGTAGTTCAAATGCGAAGACAACAAATAACAGCATAGGATCGAACAATGCAGCAACGACTAGCAACAGCACAGCGAACTCCACTAAGATGCTCGGAGGAAAATTGCAAGCTGCACGATTTTATGGGTTTCTACATTATTCGCAGTAAAGACTGTTGCTGCTAGAGATGCTGGTGGCAGCGTGAATGAATGAATGAAAATAAGCACGTAAGTTCAATACATCCTTGACCTTTTGATCTTAAGCAGAGACTGAGTCACAAGGTGGATGATCTGGCGAATGTAAAGGCGCAACTGAAGAGATGGACACCTCTGCTCGGTATCTCTCTTTTGTTGGAAAAACTCTAACGATTTCGGGAATTAAACGAGGAGCTGTACAAGAGTAGCGGTGGGACGGCTTTAAGGTGGTGGAAAAAGCAGCCTCATCTGTTTGACCAGTACCATGCGGGATTCGCGCGACAAGTGGAAAAATGGCCTTGCAATCCACTGGATCGGATCATCAAGTTTTTGGAGGCAGAGGTCATCCCAGAAGCAACGAGCGTCCAGTCCCAGGAGAAGGTTTTGCACATCGCAGATTTAGTTATGCGACCTCATGGTAGCTTCCGGTAGTCTGCACCTAATGAAATGAAGCACTTCTAGGTCTAAGTCTAATGCAAATCTACCCTTCTACCTCATCTTTAAAGGCCTGTTCATATTCTGCAACCTATAACTAAGGTAGCTTCCGGTAGTTATGCGACCTATAACTCAGGTAGCTTCCGGTAGTCTGCAGCCTGGTAAGTCATAGGATGTCGGCAAATTTTTCAATCAGTCGAAATTTGAATTTGGATCATCCAAAAATTTTCAGTTATCTGCTTTTTTTTCGAATTCATTTCCTGAGGGTGAGCTTTTCTGAAACAATTTAACTGATCAAATCTGTTTCATTTTCCTTCTCCTGTGCATCCAAATATCTGGAGATGACACTATTAAGTACTTTTACTATGGCTAATATTTTCACTTATACTACTTACAATCTTACTCATAAATTACTACTTGAGTAACCTTACTAAAATTACTCATCGAAATTTGAATTTGGATCCTCCTAATTTTTGTTGCGGAGAAGCCAGATTGGCAACGACACTAGCGGACGGCGAGCGGGTCAAGGTCTCGTGCTTCGATTTAGTTGGCCGAACGATTTCGCCCCTAGTACAGGTGCAAGCGTGCAATGTGAACCAGCATATACCTCTCCCGACCCAGAGTGTCGATGTTGTAGTACTCTGCCTAGCACTCATGGGAACTGACTGCTTGTTATGAAAGAACCTGAAACCTACTTGGAATAAATACTTAACAGAATCAATATGAATAGTTTTTACCATTCTTAACGCCCAGAAACTTAATAGAATTTGAATAGATTTTACCATTAACCTCTGCTTCTGCTGAGTGAAAAAGTGTCGTCTGTTGTTCTAGGGGAGTGAACTCTTTTTTTGTCTAGGGTCTACCTGCTTACCATTAACACCGAGTAGGCTGTTGGTGACTTGGAAAGTCAATTATTTTACCTACTGTTTACAAATAAAGTTCAGGGAAGGCGTAAGGCAAATCTGTGTCGTTTTTTATTTCGTTTTTTCGTTTTTTCTCTCTCTAATTTTCGGAGCTTTAAAGGAGGCGGCGCGAATTTTACGTCCCAAGGGCTTGCTTCTATGCGCTGAGGTATCTTCATATACTTGTTTCTAGTGTCTGCTGCATGTATGCGCTGAGGTATCTCCATATAGAAGTAGTTCTACCCCCTTCGTGACACATACGTGTGTTTTTTGATGATACGAGAGTATAATTAAGCGGTACAAGATGCAAATAAACCTTTTGATCTAGGTCAAAAGATACCTCAAGACCAGGTAAATGAATGAATGTAGTGCAACAGCGCGTGGACATCACTATCTACTGTGTAGTTTTTTTTGTTGACACCAATTGCGTGACCCCAACATGAGTGTGCAGCACCGTACCACTACCTGTCCTATAGTCATGTTTGTCAAGAAGAAAAACCAGAGTCTCGATGAAGTTACAAATGTTGTTCCTAGGTTCAAAGTCGTTTCGAGGAGGTAGATGCGTTCGTGGAAAGCGTGGAGAATCTCGGTTTTGCGCGCTTTCGACCTAAAAAGCAAAAGCGATTTGCTTGTGAAGCGAATACCCATTTTTTCCTTCAGGGGTTTCAGAGAAAAGGACAATTATCCTCTAGTGCTCCTGGAGATTCGGGATCAACAAAGACTACACAAGCAACTGCAACGACAACTTCGGCACAATCTGCATCAACATCTTCTAGTAAAGAACCATCAACAAGAACTTCGAAAACTTCTAAAAAGGCCGCTCCCGCGGACGAAGGACGAAAGGCCAAGAGAAGAAAGACCGCCACAGACACGGACAGCGGAAAAATGGGTTAAGGCATGATGATGGATGTTTTTTCATAGGTTATAACGTTGGTTTAGACCCCTTTTGATTTGTTTAGGACATGTATTTACTGAATTGTTTAAAAAAAGGGTGGCAGCATATTATAGTCCTAACGAAAAAAAGACCAATTAAAGATCACGACCGATTATTATCGATTTGCCTTCCAATTTTTCGATTTTCGAGGTTGTAGTCAATCTACTATCTTCGAAGTGAATCCAAGGCACGTAGTCCATCTTGAATCTATCAGCTCTAAAGCAAAGAAGTTGGTTGGACAGCACCGAAGCCGTGTATTTACAAGAGACGGTAGCCGTGGTTGAAAACGTGACTAAGGCAAAAAAAGGCTAGGAGCGAAGGTGAGGGTAGTAGAGCGAAGAGGAGGCTAGTGAGGGAGACCGGCGTCTTTAGACGTGCAGGCTGCCGCTTTACGGAGCAGGGAGGTCGAGCTTTTAGAGGTGCAGCTAAAGAGGACGTCTGATTACAGTGCGAAGGAATACATCTGAGTACAATGTTGGGGGTCATACACTGTTCTGAGGACGATACTGTCTTCGGAAGTACTTGTTAAGGAAATCTTAGGCAATCGGGCGAATAAGTATATAGATTCAGGTCATGAAGTACTCACTAAGAAAACCCAGCGGGCGTTGTGTAGGTCGTTGCGTTGTAATTTTTTTTCGCCATGGAGGTGTAGGTGTAGCTTAATCATGATAAAATTATGATAGAGTAATCGTGATAAAATTATGATAGAGTAATCATGATAAAATTATGATAGAGTAACTTGATCATGATGTAACTTAATCATGTTGGAGGTGTACTATCTGTAATTATGATA